TAAAATAAAAAGACTATCCTTGACTGTCAAGTAGCTACTTGCACTCATGCAACAGTGACCCCGGTTTGACAGAAGACCACAACGCACACAGGTCAAACATGTAAGCAAGGCTTTTTTAAGCCAAATTTCACTGTTGTCTTAAAGGTAAAATTTAGTTTGTTATGCAACTAGCCGTCTGTATATTACACCTTCTCCATTTTGACTTTACTTAGGATTTAATTTCTAAAGCATTACACGTTCTCATATATGTCTATTTTTGTATGCATTTGTCATGGGTTTCACATTTGGTGACTGGTTAGCAGTGTGCTGGCCATCTTTGGTTTGTAGAGGAAATCTTAACCATGAACAATCAAGGGGGCTTAAAAGAACTTTTTAAATGCTAGCTTTGTACTCAAACTTGTATCTATACTACATCACGCCACATTAAGTAGAAGCACACATCACAAAATTGCACAGGGATTACAATATTACATCCAGTCTGCATAAAATTGAATTCCACTACTGACCAGGTCACAAAATGGCTGCACTTTCTAGTCTAAAACTAATTTGCATATTGTACACATGTAGGACATTTTTTTACTTCAGTCACAATAATGCATGCAAGTTTGTTTTTTTGTAAGAAATTTCGTAAATTTGCTCATGCTACCTAGTTTCAAGAGAGCCTTTTTTGAACATTTGCAATAAATCACCTCTTGTTAATTAATAGTACTAGTGCATGCATATGGTGTATACAGGTAAGTAAACATGCAATTTTTTCACATTCTAAAACTATGGCAGTTTAGGCCATATTGTGCTGCCTGCATTTAATTTGTAATGCAGTGTGTCTTAAACGTTTCAATCCCGTATTAATAGGTGGCATTACACATAACACCTATATAGCAGCAAAGCTAATACAGCTTGTGATTAAAAATGTTTAAAAATAGCTAATAAATCAGATTATCTTGAGGTATTATTTCTTGCAAGTCAAAATGGAGAGCAAAAAATCAACCCTAATTTTTAGTTCATGTATACACTGAAAATAGCAACAACAATAAAAATAAGCTTTTTGTAGCAGACATATTCCATCTTCACTATTTTGCTACCTTTGGTAAATTACTGGGGCAGATCTTGAAGTTAAAAACCCATGTTTAGAAATAAGTGCACGCTTCACCCACTAAATATAGCAGCAGACTGTGTGCCCCTACGCAAAAACATTCTCATATCTAGTTTTAACTTTACATATAAAAATAACTTGGAGAAAATACAAAAAAACATTTTATTTTAACATGAAAATATCACAAAAATTAGTAAGCCTGAGATGTAGGGTTTTGGTGAAAAACAAGAGGCTTGTAGTGTTTTGGCTGCTGATAAAGATGCATGTATTGATAGCTGGGGTGAAAAGCAGAAGAATGCACTTATTTCTTCTGCATGTCAGTATCTTCAAACACAGTAAGCCACATGCACCCTTCTCTCCTTATGTAGATGCTGGTTCACCATGTTTAATTCCAGCGGAAGTGGATCTGACGTGGGCGGTCAGCCCCCTCCTTTACCAATGGCTTATGGAATTCACGTCCTGCACGAGAGTGGATATTTGCCCAACAAAACTCACAGTAATACTGCAGGCAAGTGACATTGGCACAAAAGAAAGGAGCAAACTTCCCACCGCACCGCGCGCCCTGGCACTCGTCACACATCTGGTCATCCAACACGTATGGCTTTACCTCCACCTGTTGGAGTGAAACGGCAACAATTCCAGTCAATAACTGGATCTACTTGAGGTTTTATAAGGTCATTCATATTTCTCCGATTTAAAAAACCCCAAAACCCAAGCCAGAAGTCTGAAATCAGTCATATTAAACCCACCATCTAACTAATCAGTTATTACTCATTATCATTTATTAGCTACAGACTAACTGTACTGCAGAAGACTTCAAGGCAGAATTTTAGAAGTACACTGCATATGTAATAAGTAGCTACTTCAGAAACATCCTTTAGTTTATTTTGGGAGTGTGTTCTTTGCAAATGATAATATGGAAGTATGTGAGGAAAAAAACTCAAACCAGCTGAAAGGTCTCCTAACTAATCTCATCAGCTCCCAAGTGCACCTCAATAGGACATGCAGTTCTATACTGTTCAGCAAAAAAATAACTGAACATATGAGACTGTAGCCCTTTAATGCAGAATCTTTCTTTTTAAAACATTAATGTCTCTGCATGTACTACTTCTGTGTGCAAATTAGAAGTATTTCCTTCAAGATGTAATACCGATCTTTTAGCAGTGCTGTTTTCTGCAAATTCACTCCCTATTTTTAAATACATGGTCAGATTTGGACTTACCAATTTGGTAATCTATTACTTTCCCTTTTTGTGGTTTTGAGCCATACAGAAATTTATTTTGAATATATTTCTGAAAATATTTGTTAAAAGACCACTTTACAAGTCTACAGACTGCTAAAACACTTGTCTTACACAGCTTTTCTCTCCAAAACTCATCTGACCGACAGTGGAAAAGTGGCAAGAGTCCAGTGGTAAATTTGCATTTTGTCTTTGTGTAACTGAGCTGTTACAGGCTGCGATCAGACAGGAAGAAGAACTTCATAATAAAACACAAAATGAGTTGACTCGATCATTAAGGAATGTATCGTTGTCTTCCACATTTTGCTCACTGATGCAAGAGATTTTTTTCCTTAGATACTAATACCCAAGAAGAACAATACATTTAGACATCAACTGCATGTTTGAAAAATTAAGAACTTTAAAATGCTACTTTTTTTCATTTTACCTCTAGAGAAAAAATTTACACCTACAGCTACCCACCCTGAAGTCTGACAGCCAAATAGTCTGCATGCTCTTCACTTCAGAAGTAGGGGCCACACTACAAGTGTCAAACAGAGTACGCTTCTTCCACTAATCTATATTCAGTATGAGCTCTACTTCTTATTTCACTAAAACGACCTTCCTTATCACAAATTACACTCAAACTTTCCAATAAACAGGTACCTTATGCAGTAACTGTGTTCATGGTTCAGAATTACTGAAAGCATGAAGCAGCATATATTTCAAGCTTCAGTGCACTAATGCACCAAGATTGGTACGAAGATGATTTAGAATATATTAGAGAAACACTTTGGGGAATGGAAGTATTACATGAAGTGGATGCAGACTGCTGGCATATGAAAGTTAATATTTTAAGGAATTGCTTGGAGTTGAAACTCCAAACGAGTTTCAAAGAAATATTTGGAGTTGAGCTTTCATATATGATAAAACAGGATGAGGAGCACTTTACCGAAGAAAAACATCTGTTAGAGAAACTAAATATATCTACACATCAAAAGAAGTGGAGAGAAGCTACAGAGTACTTAGGTAAGGAAGAAGTTTAAGATCACAGACCATGTTTGTCAAGTGACTGTGACACTAAGATTTCCAATTAAGGTAGGAAAAGGTATGTGCAAAAAAAAAAAAAAAGCAAAAAAAAAAGCTATATATTCTTTGAACTGAAGTTCAGAGGGATAAACAGGTGACCCACAAAATTTAGCAATGAAAAAAGACTTTTACACAGACAAAACTGGTTATGAAAACAATGTGGAAGAACAGCAGACCCACGAAAACTGGATATAACTGGTATAGAAAGGCTATGCTGAGGTAAAGGGTAGAACAGCCTGCCTTCTTGGACTTCAGTGAAATATATACTGACTGTATTACCTTCCTGGCCAGCATACATAAACATCTCGGGTGAAGGGAGTACCCAAAGTAGGACTATCTTCTTCATTTACAAAATCAGTCTTACAGATTTATACAAATTGCTTGTTCGTCTATAAATCAGTAGCAATACTGATTTCAGAATATTTTCAGAGCCTGAAAAGACACTAGTGTAAAAACTCCATGGAGGAAAAACCTATTTCTGAAAAAAGCTTCTTTCGTACTTTCAGAAACAGCTTAGATTCAAAGTGTTCCCTAAAAAGAGGCTCTTCTCTCTTGCTCCTCAGTAACACAAATAAATTGGTGATAATTATTATATATAATTATAGAAATAAGGTCTGACTGTATGATTTAGTTAGATGATTAAAAAATAAAGATTAAACCCCCTCTTAAATAAACAAAGAAGTTAATAAACCCTCCCCATCATGGTGTTTAAAGACAAATTTATTAAAATTCTTAAGATTTGGCACTGCTGTACTTTGTAATACACCTCAAAAGTAGCACACAATTTTAAAATAAGAAAAAACGAGGACACTAATAAAAATGCAGGAATTCAAGATTTAAAAGAACACACGGGTCAAAAAATTAATTTTCAAGTATTAGAAAAGAACCAAAGAAAGAAAATAAATTATATCAGAAAAGGAAACTGAGAATTCATATTTTTAAAGAGAAAGCCTAGATATTCCTTACCTTTTCCCCCCAGTCTCTCCAGTCCATGAACAAGTATCTACAGATACTAACTACACTTGGTGTTTTTTGATTTGGAGGCGTTTTGCTTGTTTGTTTTGTAATAGTGATTGAAGAAATCATTTGAGTACTGTTTTTATAAATTAAGTCTCAATGGACATAAGTCAAATGCTGCGCTTTTCATATCTAGTACGAGGGGTAGATTTTCAATGGGTTTTCTTTCCCCTTCACTCCAGGTTCCAAGAGGCCGGCAGTCCATCTCCCCCTTAAGAACTGCAATGTTATATCACAGATTAACAAGCTACATCCCTTTCTCTGCAAACAGCAAGCACTGCCATTTCAGGTGCCTCTTCGGCATCTAAAGAGCCCTTAAGATCTTGGCTGACCTATCATAAGAAACCCAAAACAACAAAAAAAAACATACGTGGAAGTGCAGCCTTCAGAGTCAGGTTCATGCCTTCCTTTCTCCTACAAGACATCACTGTCAGTCTACTTCTCTACTGCAAAGGACACTCCCATGGGAAGAGGAAAACCAAGCTAAAAGTGTCCCCTAGTTTACACAGTTCAAGTCCATGCCTCCCAATTTTGAGGGCAAACTAGTTCCGATGGGAACCAACTGTCCACATCTCACTTTTAAAATGAGGTGACTTCACAGCCAAATGCCCTTCAGATAGTTCCTGAAACACACTAAAAACTACCCCATTCTGAAGCTAAATGACCCAATTAGACAGAAGGAGTCCTGGATTCTGGACCTTACTCTCATTTTTTCCAAATACTCAAACGCAAGATAAGTAACAGTTTTATTTCCCCTCACACAGCCAGAATATAAAGGCCCTTTTTTCTGTTACATAACTATCCAAAAGGTAAAGCTATTAGTCAATGTCAGCTGCAAGTCACAAGGACAGCAATCCCACAATCAAAACACAGCCATCACATCTTTATGTGAAGCCTACTTCACTACCCACATCCAGACCCACTCATCCTCTGGGAATGACCATGTTTGGAGACTTCAGCTCACAGGGCAAGCAATATTTGAAACACATATGTAAAAGCTGTATTACTCTGCCTATCTGAAAGGAAAGAAGCACATGATGTATCCCTAGAGCAGACTTTAATTAATTGCACTACTTTCTTTTTCCCATGTCTTTGATCTGTAGAGGAGACTGGACCTTGAACTACTTTACTTACTCAACCCTTCCTCTTGTAAGACCTTATTTTTTTTAAGAACACGTATTAATGCCAGACTACCTCCGCAGTTCTTGACATCAAAACTAGTGACCCTCAAAACTGACATAATTTAGATGCCAACTTTCTTTCGTACTCTTATAGTTTTAATTAGGAGTAATGCAGTTGACTAGTCTTCTTAATGTAAGTCAGTTTTGCTTCAGCTAGCAATAAGCATCTGTTGCAAACAGGAATGTGCATTGGTAAATACTAAGATGACTCTCAGAAAGAAAAAGACATTTTGTATTTTAGGTTTTGAGCTTAATCAACTTTCTGAGGACTGACAATTATGGCTGCAATTGAGGGAAGCTGCAAATATAAAGCTAATTTGAAGGCGATGAATACTGGAGTTTCCTCTGAATGACAGAGGAATTATCACAGTATTTGGTTTCATTAGAACAAGGGAGAGAAAGAGACTTTCAAGCCCTTTGCCCATACACAACAAAACCAGGAACTCCAGAATGGGAAGAACATATGGTCCAACATATGTCAAAGGAACAAGCTGCTGCTCTGTGGAAAGCATGTTGTTCATTTGGGACATTCACAGCATACTCTTGAAAGAAGTGGAGTCACATGAATGCTACAAGAGATGTAGGAGCCAGCACGAAAGCCTAATTCAACATTATCACACTCTGAGAAATTTCTTTATAGGTCATTAGTCTTTTTTTTTTTTTTTCTTTTTAATTTTTGTATAACTTACTCGTTTATCAATATCGCCATGCTGAAGTTGAACAAACCGAGCACTGATGGCAGCAATGTAACTCTGCTGATTGGAAAAAGCAACACGTCCAGCACCTTTTGGGTATTTCAGCTCAGGGTCAGTGTCAATTCCTGCGTAACAAACTCCACCATAGAGACGGTCCATGATCATGGCCAATTCCACTATTAAGAAATGGAAGAATGTTCATTTAAACTGTTCTTACAGTACAAAATTAATATGCTCATGTTTAAAAATACCAGAAAAGTTAATTTTAATTATTAATTTTGAAACAGTCAACGTAACAGTAATAAGATAAAAAATATTAAATAAGCTATTGAATATTCAGCAGATAGATCTTTCATGCTGTGGGTATATACATCCAAGGAACAACGGAACTGTAAGTCCTTGATAACCTGGAACTGGAATTCCAGGGCAGTTTTCTTCAGGGGATTACAGCAAAAGATTTTTTGGGCAGGCATGGAATGTAAATTTTATAAAATAGATCCACATGCCACAAATTCCTTGGTACATGTTCTCTGGTTGTCCTAATGCTCTATGTCTTACTTCAATTTAAAGATGTAGTTCAAGTCTTTTCATCAGCCAACAGGGCTTGATTATCTCTGCAGTGCTACACTTACCATACATACTGAAGTTCAGAGAAACAAAATATTTAAATTTATAATCTGATTGCCAGATTATACTGAAATCAGTTTGGCAATTCATTCAGGTGGAAAATACTGTTTTTTTCAGAATTAGTATCCTCTGTATTAAAGGTGTCAGCAGTAACTGATGTTCAATATTTGAAGAGTCTCCTAAAGTTTTACTGCTTTAGTGAAGTCATCATTCCTATTCCACAATGCCATAAAAGTTTCATTTTCACAGATACATGCCATTCAAAAGCTAAGCATAAGAATGCATCCATTAAACTTATCACAGACATTCAGCACAGTAATCTGAAGCACTGAACTGAATTTAAAGAAAAATTAATCTGCAGTTGGAACATACTGTGTTTATGCTCATTTACAGAGTTTGTACTACAGTTGAAAGTACAGTCCTAAAAGTAAAATAACAGAAAAGTTTGAGCATTGCAGGTCCAAGATAGAAAATTTTAAGATCCTTCATATCCAAAATTGGCACTATTGCTTCTTGGGTTTCCTATGTCTTCCATCTAAAAGCTCATCCTTCTCTAAGAATAAAATGCATTACAAACTACGAAAGACTAATGAAATCCAGGAGCCATTCTAATAAGATATGGGGTTTGAACCACTGCGTGTTACACTTTTAGTTCCAACATTCACTGCAACCTACTCACTAGAAAGCCACCTAGAACACTGTAAAAGGCTACTGCAGCCAATCTCAAAAATACAGACTGTCCAGGCTGTAGATGAACCATTCCACTGCTACAGAAACATACATTTTTTCCTTCACATCTCTGGCAGGAGTCTAGAAAGAGCCCTGCAGCCTCATACAGTGTTCTGCCACACAGATTGTGCTAGCTCTCTGAATTTCTTCCTTTTTTACTCTATTCCTACTTGTTCAAGTACTCCATCACCTGTGGTTTTGAGTGCACTAAGAGTAACTGCAACTTGATAGCAGTAAAAGAGTAGCTAATGCACAATGACAAGCAGGTAAAAATACAGCTCCAAATAGTAATGGAGCAGGGCAGAGATGTTTCTGTAGCATTATTTTAAAAACAAACTCTTTGTTTTATGCCTTTCATGACACAGTTTGCATTACAGTTTTGCTAATATGATGAAATTTTTTTCTATTGCTTTAGACAGGTAACAGTTTCCAGTAAATCTCAATGACGAACTATGACTTATGGCCAAAGCCAGACAAAAACAGTTAGTAGAGAAATGTAAGAATACACAAATACTGTAGTGCAGTTATAGCCATCGTGTCAGTGTTCAATTTCTGTACGTATATCTACCCATACATAAAGCATGCATGTTTCAAATTATTTCCAATTATTTCCTACTTATAAAAACTGTCACAGATTATACTCACCTGCTCTCAATGGTCTAGGGACTCCTCCAACAAAAATCGTTTTTCTAGGATCAAGTGGCTGTGAACCATCCATCACGAAGTCACTATCACTCAGATTCCAGGGACGTATCTGAACCTATTAAATTGAGAAAGAAAATAGTATTCTACTTTAAATTTCATTGCAACATGGATATATGTTCATCAGCCTATGTAACTGTCAAACAGTCATAACCTCATTAGTTCAGCATGTCTGGGTGCTCTGTTTTAATCTTATTAATTCAAAACACTACAATTTTAATAATCCAAGTGTTCCAGATGTTGAGCTCTGCCAACAGCAGTTTGCTTTTGATTGTTTTCCTCGTCATGATTTCCAATGCAGCTTTAGACAGATGGCAGCTATAGCCTGCAGGCCATCCAGTGTGTACTCACTGGCTTGTCCTTGATAGTAGGGCTGGAAACACACAGATAGAGCTTTCCATCTTCTTCAATGCAGGCGTCAATCAGGGCCTGAACTGAACTCTCTTCTTGGAACAGGAGGAATGCGTAACCTGGAAAAAAAAGCCAAACCAACTGATATATTTTCTCTTATCTTTATTTTACATAATCATCTTCGCCAGTGACTTTTCCATACAAAAGTAAAAGCCAAAACAAGTCTTCCTTATCAGTCATCTTAACTATGTACTATCCTGCCATAATTAAACCGAACTTCTATCTGTAAATAATTGTCAGAAGAGACTAATAACCAAATCAAAGCAAACATGTCTGCTCTATCATGTACTGAAGTCTAGGCTGAACATATTCATTGGTCGCAATGAACATTATACAATGAAAATCCGACTTGGCACAAAGGACTAATCTCTATTCTAGAGATTAGATCAAAGTACTTTATTACATAAGTGACCCAGCAAGCCTTCCAAACACTACAAAAATAGGCATTAAAGTGCTTATTTAATGCTACAGTAAAAACAAACTGTCAGACACGCAAAGAACCTCACATGTTAGAATACTTTAACATTACAGTATGATTTATACTAAATTTGTTACTTTACAAATACCCAATAGCACAATTAGGGTTATATTCTAAAACAAACTTTTAAAGGACCATAAATCACATTTCTTTCTAAGATTGCCATCCAAGGAGTAAAACATAACCTTGTGTGAAAATTCTGTACTTGGTAGTAAAATAAACGCTGAAGCAACCGGGCTTGAGAAAACCCAACACGGGTACATGAGGAAGCCTTATGGAAATGATGCTCTATTTCTGAGAGAAAGTAATTAACCACTAGCCATTTCATATTGAACCACACACTGCAGGTCACCAAGGCAAAAATGGTAGGGTGCATCTCGGAGACCACTAATGAATCAATGCCTTACCAACATAAGATTTGAGAAACAAATGCACAAGTGATTTTAAATGTATGGGGAAAAAATTAGGATTTAAAGAAAAAAACATAAGGCCTATTCTGGTCTTTCCAGTAACTTGTACCTCATTTTTTACCCCTCATAACAGTCCCATTGGAGCTACCTGCAAAGGACACATGACAGGGTTTTATGTATTCTATATTTTTATGTAAGTCTTATTTAGTTTCTTAAAAAAAATATGTCATAGGGAATCTTTGGGTTTGGGCTGAAGCATTTCCTAGTAAAGTCTATTCTTCATTGCATAACAATTTTTTTTTTAGTAACAACCTCTTTAGCCTAATTAGCAAATATTTAGATTCAAAATCCATTTAATGAGGATAGCTTTCTCCATATATCTCAAAATTTTAAATCCACATATTACCCATGCTCACCCAAACTCACTCACTGAATGAGGGCACGTGCAGACTGGCATGGGTGAGATCAGACCCGTGTAACTGTCCTTACTTGGGCAGAAGCCAGGCATACACATTCCTGTTTGAATGCAGAGCTCAGTACAAGGATGATGGGAGTCCAAAAAGGGGATTAACCAAAGGGAGTGTTAATTGTACATGGTGCTGACTAAGGGATCAGACATACAAAGTAAGATTTTGCCAGTTGATTTTCCATCAGTTCTTATCCTAAAGCAAATCAAGGGTTCTGCCACGTAGTTCCTGATACATAAGGATGGTCAGTGCCTCTACTGCCAGTATGTCTTCAGCTTAATATGCTTAACTATGACAGTTTGTAAAAAGATAGAAAGTACAAGAATTCAATGAGGAACAAGTACGATTACTAAAGATTTCACAGAATATTCTGAGTTGGAAAGGACTCACAAGGATCATCAAGTCCAACTCCTAAGTTAATGGCCCATATAGGCATCAAACTCACAACCCTGATGTTATTAGCACCCTGCTCTAACCATCTGAGGCAATCTCAGGGTCATTACACATGCCCACACCTGAAATAAAAAGGAAAGCAGCAGCAAGGCCACATATTAACACTACTTTCTCAACCTCATCTGCAAAACATGTACTCGTATCTGGATTTAGCCCACTTAATTTAAAGCCTCAGATAGGCTTGTGTCATGAGCTCAGCTGTACTACTCCATCTCCAAAGAGTATAGCCTGCAACTGGCCTGTCTGTAGTTGTGCTCCACAGCCCTAGGCTTTCAGTAATTTACAATATATTTTATCTTGCCGCCTATGAAGCCTGGAGTAAAATAACCACTTATTTAAGAAAACTGGCCTGAGAATATGATTTTCTCAGGTCGCACATAGAGCCTGGATCAATAGGCCAAGGCCACCTGTAGGACAGTCAAAAAGGTCATGTACTGGCTCCTGCATGTAGGTCACAACAACCCCAGGCACCACTACAGGCTGGGGGAAGAGTGGCTGGGAAGCTGCCCGGTCGAAAAGGATCTGGTGGTGCTATTTGACAACCAGCTAAACATGAGCCAGCACTGTGCCCAGGGGGTGAAGAAGGCCAGTGGCATCCTGGCTTGTATCAGAAATAATGTTGCCAGAAGGACCAGGGCAGTGATTATCCCTCTGTATTTGACACTGATAAGGCCAAACCTCAAGTCCTGTGTCCAGTTCTGGGCCCCTCACTACAGGAAGGACATTGAGGTGCTGAAGTGTGTCCAGAGAAACACAATGGAGCTGGTGAAGGGTCTGGAGCACAGGTCTGATGAGGAGCAGCTTAGGGTGTTTAGCCTGGAGAAATGGAGGCTCTGACTTTAGTCAGGGGAGAGAATCATCTTTTCTCCCAGGTAACAAATGATAAGACAAGAGGAAACACCCTCAAGTTGTACCAGAGGAGGTTTAGATTAGGCATTAGGAAAAATTTCTTCACTGGATGGACAAGCATTAGAACACGATTCCCACGGAAGTGATGGAATCAATGTCCCTGGAAGTGTTCAAAATACAGATAATGTGGTGTTTAGGGTTAGTAGGGGACCTGGCAGTGTCCTGTTAATGGCTGGACTTAACGATCTTAGGGGCCTTTTCCAACCTTAATGATTATATTGCCATATACAGAGACAGACAATCCCTCCCAAAGAACCCACACTTGCACAGTCTGCATACAAGCTACTCTCCATCACTCGCCTAATTATAAATTAGCCATCGCCTTCTCTGAAGAACACTGGTTATGCAGGACATCACATGTGTTAGCTAGAAATGTTAGCTAGAAAGTGCTTGCAAAGGGAAATTCTGCTTTTGTCTTCCGTATTTCATTTAGAAATCATAAATTAGGACCATTCTCATTACTACGGCTACCACATGCCAACATCTGCATGTCACACACATAATTCTTACCCATTTCTGCTTCTCAAAATATGCTTTTATTGGAACTTTTTTTTCACCTCAGCATCCCTAACTCATGAAGTATGGGGGATGTTTAATGTCTGAAAAGCCAGAGCAGTGGTGAAAGTCACATGTGATGAAAAGGCACTTATCTAGTCTTTTTGTGAACTATAACTACCATGTGTGATAGAGAGTACATGTCACATGCTGGGGAGGTAGTGTGAAGAGTATGAGGTGTTCTATTGTACTACAAAACACTTTAACTCCAGCAAAGCTATTCTAATAGTTTTCTTCAAAGGAATCTGCTTCATACCTTTGGGTGATTTCAGGTATTACATACATGTTCGGTCCATATTTCACAAAGTGAAAACTATTAAATGGAACAGTTTTATAAAAATCTGTTGTTCATGTGCATCTTTACCAGAATTTGTACCTCCTATGGGAGCAGAGGTTTAGATAACCCAGTTAGTGTTTAGCACTTGACTGAATTCCTCTGCATAACACTGAAACTATTACTACCACTCCTATTTTCAAAGGCAATCAGTATGGGTACTTGTGGTAATATACTCATCCTTAGAAAATGACCTCAAATAATAAACAAATCTTTCTAAAGATAACTAGTTTAGAACTATGTTCCCTGATATTTAAAGATACTGCCCTGGTTACAGTCATGAGCTGACATTTCTCTTAATAAAACAAGACCAAGAAATTATGTATTTTTTTTTTAATGTATTTGGTCCATCAGGTAAGTTTTAAGAGTCCTAGCTCTGCTACCAAATTAGCCTTTTCTTTTTTTTTTTTGTATTTCTTATATTAAGAACAAATCAAATGCAAAGCGTTCTAGACTAGATTGACACTAACACTATTTTCTGAGCAAGGAAGAAAATTTCTTTATTTCAGAGTAATATGGAAATTTACCAGAAGGAGAAAGGACACTTCTGCTACGCACACTCTGTAGAAATCGGAGACCAGCTTTAAGTTCTATCAACCTCCAGCTAACTCCTGTCACTAGTGGCTTAGAGGAGATGTCAAGAAAAGCAGTGCAAGCCAGCGTGGCGCTGCCCATGCCAGTCACTACAGCAGTGTTTTGTTCTGGGGTTGGTTCCTCTGCTGTCCTGACAGACTGTTCCCAGAGAAGACTAAATGGCCTCATTGCAGTGCAATTCTTGCCTAGAGAATGCTGCACCTTAGCTTAAATCAAAAAGAATCAGTGCAAACTGCAGAAGACGGATCAACTTATGACAATGGGAATAGTTCAATTTGTGAAGGGCAAATTTCACCCATTCCTCCTTAAAGAGGTCTCATCACCACAATAATTAAATCTTTAAAAATAAATCTTTCATTTTTCAATTTAGTCGCCTTTGATGGGAAACTAAAATACACTTAAAGTGAAAAAATGTGGTGCTGCAATCACATTTATGAGATCTGTGTATTTAGTCAGTTTGGGTAAATGAATCAAGCTCGATGTGCTTATGTTACAGTGACCTGAATAGCCCTCTGTTCTCCACTGGCTGTACTGGCCGGATTCCCATTGATTAAAGAAGTTTAGACACTAATCACACATGAAGACACCTACAGTTACTTGCCTGAATCCAGAGTTTGATCCTACCCAGTGTGATCAAATTAACTTGTAACAAGTTTAACAGAACTTGTACGGACTTGGGGCTTTGCTTCTTAAACTAGAAACAAACGTTTTCAACCTGATTTTTTCAGTCAGCTCTGAATTGCAAGTTAAAAACCTTGAAAAAAGCTACTGCACAACTGCTGTGATACAAGGCAGCAGAAACAACCAATTAGAAAGGGCCGGGAACGCTGTCCTGTTTAAATCAGATTATCCACTGTTTGATACAGACTAAAATAGTACAGAGGACACAAACAACGGGACATATTTTGAAAGGCCTTCTTCAGACTTGCATATCCTTATGGCACCATTTCTTTGAGAGTTTCATTATCACAAGGAGGAGTCCTCAATCCAGCAAGTTACTTTGGACACGTGTATTGTTTCATAAATAAGTGTACTTGCCAACTACGTAATAACATGAGTTATGATAAACAGTTGCAAGTCAGAAAGGAAGGAATTCTCCATTACAGTTGGCAGATCATGGACTTTGTACTTTGAGCTCAACAGATTTTTTTTTTTTTTCAGAACAGAGTCTCCTTGTAAGATCAGTGTGAAATTCTAAAAATTCCTGTTTTCTTTGGGTCTAATTTTGTGGTGAACCAATACAAAATATAATTATTTAAGAACAAGCAGTTGGTGTTTCTCAGGAGGCAGCCTTGACAGATTAAGACACTACTTGCATTTCTTTCGACAAGGAAACACTTATTATGAACTTGGTCTTCCCTTGGGACCTTCTGTAAGCAGAGAGCCTGGAAGGGACTGCAGCCTGGAAAACTGAACAACAGTAAAAAAAAAAAACCAAGAAAAAAAAACCAAACAGGCTGTAACTCTTCACTGCAGAAAAGACTTCTGTGAATCTGTCCAGAATGGGATAATTCCGAGATGTCTTTGGAAAGTAACACTGTGGCAAATCTCTAACAAGACTGAACAAAGAAAAATATATACACTGAACTGATTCACTGTGGAGTGACAAATTAGAAAACGGAGATTGCAAATAATAAAAACTAATATAGTATATATTTCTCTACTGGTAATCATTGATCTCAAAGCTTTATTTTGCCTATCCTTAGCAGTTTCAGACATCTTATTAAATATACATATATATATATACATGGTTCTTGCCTATACACACAAGTACTACTAAAGAAAAACCAGTTTTTTAGAAATTCTTCTACAAAATAATCACGGGTCCTATGTATTGCACTGAAGACAACCGACAGATATATACACAGTAATAGTCAGCAGTTAAATGTTACCAGAGTATCTACAAAGAGAAAACTACACTGTATTTTAAATGTCTTAGGCTGCATTGCAAAAAAAAAAAAAAAAAAAAAAAAAAAAAAAAAAAAAAAAAAAAAAAAAAAAAAAAAAAAAAAAAAAAAAAAAAAAAAAAAAAAAAAA